GCTTTCTGCTTTGTGATCCAGGTGGTTCCTTAGATCCTTTGTCTCCGCCTCATGGACGGGGAGTCCTCGGGAGAGGAATGAATCCCTCGACCCTCCGCCTGAGGCAGCAAACTCGTCGAGCCGGCTAAGGACGTTTACATTGTCTTTCTCCAGCTGACGTAATCTATCGCCAAATTTCTCTTCTATCACCTCTGCCAGCTGACGGGCCAAGGGGGCTGATCCTCCTGACCTGATCCCCATACTGGTTTGGGGGGTTACCCCCCTTGACCGAGTAGAGGCACTTTTAATCGTACTGGTCCGATCCCTCCCCCCGTGATGGCAGGGAGCTTGCAACTCATGACTCCTTTGGTAGGGTCCCTTTCCCTTTCTGTCTGGTGTTCACCATGGTCACTGTTCTTTATAGAGAAAAGATTAGGAAAACTACTCGTTTCCCACAGACGGCGCCAGATTGTGCGTGCAAGATCCTGCACAATATAAAAAATATTGGGAACAGCTCTCTCCCCTGGTGAACTTTGAGTGAGCCGGTTGAGTGGCCAAACACACTGCTTGAAACAGCCTACAAGGAACGGTGGCAACCTGGAACGGCAAAGGAAGATCCTGGGAAAGGAAGAACGATCCTGTACTTGGGAAAGGTATTTCCTGGAACAAAGGAGAACAAGTTAGAAGGGCGCCGGAGTGTTTTCTGGCGTATCCCCTCCGACGGTCTAGTCAGTCTTTGAATGAGAGAGAGGAAGAGAAAACACTGATGAGGATATTTTGTAGTAGTGAGTTTGTGATTGCATACCTGCTTTGCCTTTTGGGAGGAGTATTTATACCTTAGAAGCTCATGATTGCTGTCAGTGTGGTCAGTAGGTGATCATCAGGCACAGGTAGCGTGTGTATTGATTTGATGAGGAATGTCTTCTCTAATTGATTGCTCGGGATCCCGAGCAATCAATTATGAGCCGTCGGGACGCCGACGGTACAATATGATCCTTTCGGGAAGGATGCAATAAATGCTCTGTAATAGGAGCATTTATTGCCTTTCATATCCGAACCTTACCGCATTGAATGCGGTCTCGTCAACAGAAGGGTGCAATTAATTTGTTTGCTTTCCCAAGTCGCGTGTCAGCGACGGCATGCGTCTGTCTGTTTCTGATGTGACATTATTTGCCACGCGTCCATCCCTTATTGGCTGTGACGTCGGTATTCCAGCGTGTTCTGACATTACTTGTGCTAAGACGAGGTTATGATGAATAGTCTAGACTGGCATAGGCTGATGTCCCGTACGTCAGTAGCGTTATCCAGGAGTAGAGGAAGCGTCCAGGATAGAGTGACCCTCGGCACCGAGGAAAGACTCACCTCGGGGACCGAGGGGTGGTGTGTTTCCGAGGTATACACACGACCGAGGACACGTGTCGTTGTATAATGCACCGAATATGTGATCCTATATGAGAGGTACCTCGGGGAGAGGACGCCTTTTGCCGATGGTGCTTGAATCCGAGCAACATTGTTCTAGAAACCCCGAGGACACGTGTCTTCATCATAGGGCTTTTCAGAAGAGTCCCATCAGAGTTCATGAAATTTTATCTATTACAACACAAGATGTGTCTAGTCTCTTTCCTCATGATCATATATAAATTGTGTTTTGTTTATTTGGTTGGATTGGATCCTGTGTATAGTGCACCATATGAGTTTTGGGGTTGGTTTTTTTAGGAAGTAGATGTTTTATTTTGAAAAGGTTTTGTTTAGAGTTTTTAATTTCCCAAAAGTGCAATATGGTAGACGGTGATTAAGTTAGTTTTCCATTATGTTGGTTTCTATAATTATTTTCCCTTTTTGATACGTTAGCCTATATTTATGATTTTATTGTTGACTTAGTTCAGATTTATATTGTGTATTATGTGGTGAGTCCAGTAATTGATTTGAATCATATTTTTCTAACAAACAAACTTTTTACTATACTAATTATGTTGATTCCAATTGGAGAGAAAAATAAGGGGCCATAAGTTTTGAATTTTCAGTTGTTTGGTTTTGCGTCATATTTTTTAGGTATACATGTAGCATGCTTGGGGTTATTTTTTGGTGACTTCACATCTAAAAGACATTAAAGTCCTTGATTCTAATCAGACAATTGTGTGGTAATTATTGTTAACAATCTTATTGGTATGTATTCTTTGATTGTCTCTCTTAACTCTAAAGAAGATGGAGTTGAAGAGGATTATTTCTTTTTTTATGCACGTGTGTTTTTGTGTGTGTTCAGTCCAGTTTGCGTGTGTATTTTGTTTATTTCGTGTTTAGTAAGGTAAATTAACCACATATGCGGATATGTTTGGTTTGATGGTTGTTGTGGTGGTTGGGTTTGAAATGATGATTGTTATGTATTATTGTAATGGTTATATGTTTTGTTTGAATTGTAACGATTGTTATGTATAACTATGAACTGTGAATTTTGGTTCTTTGATTGAACTTGTGGATATAACATATAAGTGTGACATTTGATATTATGATATCTAAATGTTATTTTGGTTGGGCTTGATTGATTTTCATTTTTTTAATTTAAGCAAATTATGGAAAGGTCAAACAAGTTGAGATTTTCATGAGCTCCTATTTTTAGAGAAATTTTTTCTAAATTTTTTGAAAAAATAATTGGAGTTAGATTGATTTCAATTTTTTTAATTAAAGTAAATGAAAAAAAAGTTATTTCAAATTAACCGATTTTTTTAAGTTACAAAGTATTTTTAAGCACGAATTATTACTGGTGATTAAATATTATAGAGAAGCTGAGCTATGCCTGGTACAAAAAATAAAAAGAAGGGCAAAAAATAAAAATTAAATGGTATAACATTATTATAATATTGTTGTTGGTTTCATTTTTACCGATGTCTGGCTGCCATTCCTGCCATTGTGCAAAAAGTCCTTGCCACTTTTGGCTGGCTGATAAAAATACATCCTCACCCACCCACCCACACGCCGGATTTCTTATCTCATATTCATCGTGTAATCACGTCTGTTCAAAGTTCAAACTCTTTCTAAGGTCTCTCTCTCTCCCTCTCCTTCTCTCTCACACACAGAGCATCTGATGTTAATGGTATCATACACTGGAATTGTTGTGTTGTAGCTTTATTCCCTTATATCTAGTGTTGAGGATTTGTGCAACACTAGTTCAGACCAATACTAAAGTTTTGCTTGAGGTTTGAATCCTTCAGTCTTGGAGAATTATTCTCTATGTTGTCGTTTCTTTTCTTTTATGTTTTGGAGTGCAAACCCTCTAATATTTTGAACTGGATCTCTAATTGACTTCTGGGTCCTATGGTTTTTCTAACAAATCACAAAGATTTATGTCTTTATTAGAGATATAGATGACTCAATATCGCATATGCATAAAAAAGAAGAGTTAGTTTTTTTTTTAATAAAGTTTTTATGAGGTAAAGGCGTGATTTTTTATCTTTATACTGTTCTCGGCAATACTTTCTGTGTATCTTATTAAAAAAAAAAGCTAGACTTTTGTATGGAGGTAATCTCCTTTAGCAATTGTAAGTAATTATTGGGTGACTAATACTAACTGTTGTTATGTGTTAAAGTTTAATTTCTTTACTTATCATACTTCTGTATGTAGTTTTCTTGGATTTATGTAGTAGTTATGAAAAGAAGAAATCCAAAAGGCAGCAAAGAAGCATATCTTATTGTTTTGATTTCATATAGTATCTAATATGCCTTTTTCTGCATTTGCTGGAGATATATGTTTAGCCTATATAACCAAAATAAAAGAGAGACTGGAGGGTTGCCTCAATTTTTTACAAGTACTAAATGTGGTGTGATATAATCTTCAGACAGGCCTTTTCTGTAGTATTTCATTATTTGTATTGAGGGTAAGAGTTGATTGACTTCTGTGACCAATGTTGTTTATCTCCAGGGTAATTAAGCATGCAGAAGAGAAGAAATTCCACAGCGTTTGACACCCAGAAAGGCAACAAAGAAGCAGATGAACAAGTTCAGAGCTCGGGCCACTCCATTTCGGATCTTCCTATGCCTATCCTTGCAGATATTCTTATAAGACTGCCTATAAAGGGAATTGTCATGAGCAAGTGCGTATGTAAGTATTGGCGCCACATTATTTCAGATCCTCAGTTCGCTAATATGCACTTTGCACAAGCACATGCTTACCCTCTGGTTCGGACCTTGGACACTACCTGTGTCTCAAGAATGCTTTACTTGGTTGAGCTGCCTGAAAATGATAGTGAGGACTGCTTGTGTGGTGATCTTAACAACAAATTTAAATGTGCTCATCACATTAATATGAAGCTCGACACCAAATTAAAGATCCCTATGCGCAATGCTGAAATGGTGCTTACCAGTGAAAATAATGCCAGAATGAGTTTTTGCTGTAATAATGGTATTAGAAGGAAGCGTTGTATCAAGGTGAAACCCAAAGATCATAAATTCAAAATTGCAAATTCATGCAATGGTTTCCTGTGTCTGTCAGAACCTTTGAACAATGATCCTGTCGTCGTATGTAATCCAGTTACAGGGGAGTATATAAACCTTCCAATGGCTAAGAAAGTTGATGAGAATGCAAAAGGTCTCATAGATTGTGCGCTCGGCTTCAGTCCAAAGACTAATCAATACAAGGTCATTCGAATGTTTGATCAAGGGACTCCTCAAGTGGTTCCTTGTCCCGTCGCAGGCAAAGAAAGATATTATAGTAGGGTGGCTGAGATACATACACTAGGCACAGAATCATGGAAAAGCATAGGCTATGGTCCCTTCTCAAATCAGAAACTAACATTTCCCACCTATCTGAATGGAGCTCTTCATTGGCTTTGTGTTGACTACGAGAGATCAGATTTTATAGTCTCCTTTGACATTGACAGCGAGCGTTTCCAATCAGTTCCATCGCCCCCTCTTAGATGTAATGTGGTTGGGTTGATTGACATGCGTCATGTGAGCCTGGGAGTAGCAAGACAACTTTTATGCTTCTCTGATGGTTCTGGTGATGATCTCATTGTTATATGGGTGATGAAGAAGTATGGTGTCAAAAGTTCATGGACTAGAATGAGTTCTATTGACAGTCGAACTGCAGAGTGGTGGTCTTGTTGGCTGTACCAGCCCATAAGTCAACTGCAGAATGGGCCACTGCTGATGTTTCTTAATCGTGAAAGTGCCTTAATATATTATGATACTAAAAAAAAAGAGTGGAGATATCTTAAGATTTATGGGATTAAATCAAACTGTGAAGCAGTGGCTCATATTCCAAGTTTCATCTCGCTTAAGGATGCCGTAATAGGTAACAGTGGTGTGGTGCTGAATATAAATTCAAGGTAAGAATCGACAGTTTGCAAGTTTGTATTTTATTTAATAGCTTTGCTGATTAATATGTTGTTATGTTGTGATCTCTTCTTCACTTCTTTTATTCGGTTTTCTGTGTTTGTGTGTGGGTGTGTATTCCAGTAATCACGTTGAAAAATAATCACAAACATGTGTACCCTGCATCTGCACAGCAACTTCAGGGAAGCTTCTGTAGAAAGAATATTTTTTTCTAAATAGCCTTTCTGTGTAAGGCTTGTGTCAGTGTGTGTTGAGTGCAGGGACGGAGCCAATATTTTGTCGTGAGAAGGGGGAGTGGCGAAAGGGGAACATAAACAAGACACGGTTTAAAATTTTATTAGATGTGATTATTCAACAAGTTATTGTTAATATCATATGCTTGCCTGTAAAGCACCTATAAAAATCAACTTTTATATGGTCTGAGACTAGGTCATAAATATAAAACGGTTTGCTTTTTTGTGACAATTTTGCAGTTTGCTTATTCTTACACTTTGTCATGATGTAGTGATAAAGTATTACACACTATCACCGATATTAATTTCACACGTCACTGTAAAAGTTAGCCGTGAATCCGTGCATTATTAATGATATTACTCATGTTTGTAACCCTGTTTTTGTAGAACATTTCTCTCTTTTCTCTTTTGTTTATCAAAGTCATATATGTAAGCTTCCTCGTTTGTACAAAAAACTCGTCCATGTCCCGCATTTGGTTATTAAATGTTTGTGTAATTGTCACATAGAGCATGCCTTCAAGTCAGAAGATAAGTTTGTTGATGAATGATTACTCCTGTGCAGACTTTTGTGAACATAAGACACCTGTAGAGTATATGATTTGCCTCAACCTTGTTGAACTATGTCAGTCATGCAGGGAGCAAAGTTGATGTTTATGCATCAATGTATGTACTTGGATGAGGAGTTAATTCGTTGGATAATAAGAACCATAACACTAAGGTCTTTTTAGTTTTATTTGTCTGCTGTACTTGCTAGTGTGATGCTAGGCTCTCAAGGTTCATTATTTCTTTTTCTGGTGCTGGATGAGGAAGGGGAAAATAGGAGAAACAATAGGAGAGAGGGTGAGTAGTGGTGTTTATGACCACCTAAGGAGGCTCTACCCTGAAACTGCTTGGCAAAGCTAGGGATTTGAACTTTGAAGTCTCTTTCCCTAGTCCTTGTGCTGATGTTCTCACTTTATAATGAAGCAATTTGACTTTTCAGATGTTCTATATGGGTTCTTTGTTTGGCTCTAATTAGCATTGGGTCACTGGTAAGATATAAGCGACAAGGCAAGCAACAATACTGATTTGAATGTAATTCCCCGCTGTGATATTTTGTGCAAGAACTAAATTAAGCCATTGCAGTAAATTTGGATGTCATTTCTTTCTGGTGTGTTTAAACAACTTTAGGACTTGATGTTACACCAATTGAGGTTTAGAAGTATTTAGGGCATGCCAGTGTACCTTGGTTAACTCAGATTATTCGACAAGGTTATAACAACTAAGAAAATGCTTGACGAGTGGATGAAAAGTAACGGGAACATATACGCAAAATTAGGGGACATTTAGAATTGTATATATTATTGGGGTACTAAATTAACGCGCCATCCAATGAATTTCAGGGTTTGAAATGCATCGGTAAAGCCAAAAGTTAGTTTAATTGTGTGCAAATTCTATGCATTACATGTAATTTAGATGTATCCTGCAGTTCGTGGTATGAAACTTGTGTAATATATTTTTGTGTGAACCTATTGGAACAAAATTTTAACCTTTTTGAATTTCTTCTGCTGTTATTAAGGAACAGAGATATTTAATATTCACACCAAAATGTTCCAGATTTTGGCATATCCGCATGAGTTCTAATTGTTTTCTAAGTTTCGTTTTCCAAAATTTGTAGTAAAAATAAGGCCTTCCTGAGATAAAACAATGCATTAACAAACATTAGGATCACCCTTTATGTTGTTTCGTTGAAGTGTCAATCCTTGCTTGCTGTAGAATTTAGTTGTACTTGAACAAGTTGTGCAGCTGAAGCTTAACCACGTGTTGGTTACATAGAAAAACAGATTGAACATAATAGTGGAATAATTCCATGGAGTAAAAATAAAATTGTTGCGTGAAAGTTTCTTATCTGAGTGAGAATTGACTCTCAGAAAATTAAATTCTATCTCTCCGTTTCGAGAATTATGATCCCCAGTCCTGACATCAATCACTGTTGATACAGGTGTGCGAGGTTTAAACTGCAGGGAGAGACTAAAGCTCTTTTATTGGTGGAAGAAGATTGGAAAATGGAGTTGAATTGGGATTCATATTGTTCATCGTATAGTGAGGAAAATGATGTGGACACTGGTGGCAGGGGAGATGCAGCCGAAAACCAGGCTTGAAAAACTACTTAATGGGGTCCAATCTTCACTTCAAGACTCATTTACCTTTCATTGGAAACTACCTTGAATACCCTCACAACTATGTGTAGTTATGTGTTTTGAACCTTTTGCAGATTTCTCATTATTACCCCAGATTAACCAGCTATTCTCCTAGCACTAATGTTTTTGGTTACTTGAATGATTTGGGATCTTCACAGGATCATCTTTCATGGGCATGGAATACCAATTTTGAATGTGGTTTTGGGGCAAGTGCCATAAGGTTATTTAGGCAGGATTTGGATCTCCCTCATTCAGTGTATGTTGTTCAAATTTTGTAAACAGTATTATCAGTCATGAATTTAAATATGATTCACTGTATATAAGTGGGTCTTTAATCGGCACGTGAAGGATGACTTATCATGGAGAAAAAATAAGAGAAAGTGCATAACAGAGGATACAGATTCAAGGCACAACCCCCTTCAGAATAAGTCTTACATTTGAGCAGCCAAAAAAATGGTGTATTTCAACTTTCAAAGGTTTTTTTTTTAAATTATTTTTGTTTCCTTAATTTATTTGCTCATGAGACGTAAGTAATGTCCTGCGGATTGACAGAGGTCATAGGTGTCCCTTGGAACCACATTGTTCTACGTCTGAAATCTTCAAGTGGGGTTTTGTATATTTTAGAAAAACTCAAAAAAAAAAAAAACTGATGATATATTCTCGGCGATTTAATTAGTTAAAAATATAGTAATTGTCTCTAAAAAATGTGTTCCTTTCGGGTTTGAACTCTTGACTTTAAAAAAGTAAAATTTTTACAAGATAATGAGTATTATTAGATCAAATCTCGTTAATAAGATGTGACTACCTTCACCAACAAGTTTAAATTTGTTTTTAAACGGGCTGGTTAGAGTTTGGGATAAATTTTAAAGCACAAATTATAATTAAAATGGGATGGAGGCAAAGGAGAGCATTAAGAGACTACCTTTATAGATTCTTATTAGTGGAATCATTAGTCCTCTGACTGTGTCTATTATTTTTCTTGGAAACGAACTTAGTTAGAGTAGCATAACAGTAAACCATTGAACTCCAATGTAAACTTCAAGACTCGAATCTCTAACCTCATGGTGAGAAATTCGACTGGTATCCAACTAGACCACCCCACTCAGGGGTTAAATCTCACCAATTTTACTATATTATAAAACAATCAAATTAGGGATGAGAGGTCTTGAGAATGAGTAAATATTGGGTGTAAGACATGGTGTAACTATTCAATAAGAAAATAACAATGCTATGTTGATCAAATTGTTTATCAAATTTTATATCTCAAATCAATATGGGTGGTTGAATCAGTTGGCTCTACTAACTTCATAAAATATTCAAATGCATGAGATTTTGATACATCACTTAAATACAAGATTTGGCAAATAAATTTAGGAAAGACAATTTTATTCATAAGAAAATAACAAAAATGATAAAATATGGTTTACTTTCTATCATGGAGGTGGTTATGCATTTTAGTAGAGTTTATTTGCTCACTTGTTTATACCTAATATTTTTTTCTGGATAAGACTTTTCTTCTTAAATGCTAATTTAATAGAATTTTGAAATATTTAATTAGATTACTCTTATCAAATCATTGAATGTGTCATTTGTTACTACTCTCACAATTTTTTTTAAACTACTTCAATATTTAAACTTTTAATTATTTTTTTAATTATTTAATATATAAATGAATATCATTCTAACACTAAGATAAATTGTTTGGCACTATAAAGGTTACAAAAAATTTGGTAGTACGGCAATAATATGAATAGATAATAAATTTCATGTATTACACTGGATGCTCACTAGTAACTATTATAAATAATTACTCATAAACTCCCTTTAACTAGTACATATTCCAAGTTTTCTAAACATCAAAAAATTTCATTCACTAATTATTATAATATTTTTGTTAATTTATAAAAAAATGAGTGGGAGATTGTAAAGCTTAAAAAAGAGAATTAAGAGAAAGAAGAGAATGACTCGTGCATGCATCACATCAAATTGAATATAACGTTACTTCAACTATAAAAAATGAAAAAATCTACCGGTACAAAATAATTGGATGATCCCCTATTAAATTTTTTTTTCTTTTTTTTTTTTTGTGATAGTTTGAAAATGGGGTAGGACAAAAAAGAGTGTCTAATGTATAGTGATTATTTCATTAGATCTTCATCGGTTGGATCATAAAATTCTTAATCGCACTTGAAATATCTCTTGATCAGACCTCGCTAAGCTAAGCTAGTGGTTGAGCAACGAACTCTAACAAAGACTCGAGGATTCGATCTATAGATAAAGAGTAAGGCGGATACAACAACTAGACCACCGATGATCCCCTATGATATCTACGTCAACAAATTTAATTTAAAAGTAATCACTCCAGATTCACCCAATTTTTTACCGAGGTCTGCTATTCCCCCCATTGTACAAAACGTCCGTACCCATTTCGCGCCAAGGATGAGAAGTCCCCACCCACTTACGATTCATCTATTCCATTATCTTTGTTGGGTAATTTGCTTCCCGCATATCGCTTTATGGAAGTCTGTTCAAATTTCTTCCTGGTAACTATCTCTCTCTCTCTCACATCTCAAACATAGCATCTAATGTTTTTTTCTAAAATGCACTAGGATTGGTATGTATGATATGTAGTTTTATTTCCTAGATCATGAATTTGGGATTTGTTGGAAACTTTGGAACACTAGTCCAGACCAAAAAAGGGGTTTTGCTTTGGGTTTGAATCATTCAGTTTTGGAGAGTGGTTCTTCTTGTTGGTACAAATCTTCTAATATCTCGAACTGGGTCTTAACAGGCTTCTGGGTTCCACTAATTTGCATATGTAACCACAGTGATTAACGACTTCATTAGAGGTATAGATTTACAATGCCATATAAACCTTAAAAGGAAGGGTGTTTTTTTAGGGGTGGGATTTACTTGATCCTATGTCTTCCCATTAATATTGTTTGGCATATGATGTTTAGATTATTTTCAACAGGCCTTTTATGTGTTTGTAAGCTTCTTAAATAATTCTAACTGATTGTTGTTAACGTTTTGTTCTTTACATTGCATACCTCTAGATGTGGTAGTTTCCACAGATTTAAATGTCTGTGGAAAGAATTTACACACATTAGGGTAATAAAGAAGCAGAATTCTCACTGTTTTGATATCAATGCTCTGTATACAACTAAATAGAAAGGGAAGGATGGTGGTTGTTCCAAATTATTTTGAAGTACTAAATGGAATGCCATATGATCTTCAGGCTATTTCGTACTGGATCTCTAACTGGCTTCTGGGTCCAAGGAATTTTTTTGAAATTTTTTTTGAGCTTTTATGAGTCATTAGTGATAGAGATATATCGTACCATGTAAACAACAAAGGGTTTAGTTTTTTTTTTAATTCCCCAAGCCCCAGGAACCCGGCCGCGCCGGGGGGGGGGGGGGGGCGCTGTTTTGTTATTCGCTCCATGTGATATTCGTATTGTTTTAATCTCCTGTACCGTAAATAAAACTACGTAATTGTTGTTAAGGTTTTCTTTCTTTATTTAGCATTCTAGATTTAGTTTCCATGGATTTCTAAAATAGTTGTGGAAAGAAGAAATCGAAAGCAGATGTTAACTTACTGTTTTGCTTTCACATAATATCTAATAAGCCTTTTCTATAGTTGCTGTAGTTACACTTTTATCCTATAAGACCAAAAAGAAAGAGAAGGGTGGAGGGTTGCTCCAAGTTTTAAAACCACTAAATGTGATGTCATACGATCTTCAGTTTTGTAGCTCATTAATTGTATTGATGCCAAGATATAGTTAAGTTCTGTGATATATGATGCCTAACTCTAGGTTCATTTGCATAGATCATAAGCCATGGGAAAAAGAAGAAATTCAACAACTTTTGAAAACCAGAAAGGCAACAAAGAAGCAGATGAGCAAGTTCAGAGCTCAGGCCATTCCGTTCCGGATCTTCCTATGCCCATCCTTGTAGATATTCTTATAAGGCTGCCTATAAAGGGAATTGTCATGTGCAAGTGCGTATGTAAATATTGGCGAACATTATTTTGGATCCTCAGTTTGCTAATCTGCACTTTGCACAAGCACAGGCCTGCCCTCTGGTTCGGACCTTGGGGACTACCCGCGTGTCAAGAATGCTTTACTTGGTTGAGCTGCCTGAAAGTGATGTTGATCACTGCTTGTGTGGTGATCTTAACAAGAAGTTTAAATGTGCTCATCGCATTAATATGAAGTTTGACACCAACTTAAAGATCCCTGTGCGCAACACTGAACTGGTGCTTAAAAGTGAAAATGATGCCAGGATGAATCTTTGCTGTAACAGTGTTATTAGGAGGAAGAATTGCATCAAGGTGAAACCCCGAGATCATAAATTCAATATTGCAAATTCATGCAATGGCTTCCTTTGTCCGCAGGACCCATGAATAATGATCCTTTTGTCGTGTGCAATCCAGTTACAGGCGAATATATTGTTAAGTTTAGAGAATTAACACAATATTAAAAAAAAACAGGGAGTGGTTAAAAACCTTAACTTAGCTCTCATACAATACTTATATTTATAGTTAACTCATAATAATAAGAATTATACATACACCCTATTACTATTAACAATTTACACATATTATCCTATTATTCGTAATACTCTCTTTCAAGTTGGATTATATATATCATATAATTCAAGTTTGGAACAAATAGTTGTAAGATGTATACGATTCAATGCTTTGGTAAACATATCTGTAAGTTAATCTTCAGATTTCACAAATGGAGTTGTAATCTCCACAGCTGCTATCTTGTCCCGAATAAAATGACATTCAACCTCAATATGTTTGGTTCTCTCGTGAAATACAAGATTGACGGCAATATGGATAGTTGTCTTGTTGTCACAGAACAACTGTAAAAAGCGTTGAACTGAAAATCCAATTTCCTGGAGGAAGTGTAATAGTCAAATCAACTCACTCGTCGTATGTGTCATTGCCTTATATTCAGCCTCAGCACTGGATTTTGCTATCACGGGTTATTTTTTACTTTTCCATGAGACAACATTACTTCCTAAGAAAGTACAATAACCAGTGATTGATCTCCGATTAGAAGGAGAACTAGCCCAATCAGCATTTGAGAAACATTCCACTCTAAGATGTCTATTAGCTCGATATAACAGTTCAAGTCCAGGAGCTCGTTTGAGATATCACAGAATACGAGTAACTGCCTCCCAATGTGATACTTTAGGACACCCTATGAACTGACTTATTATACTGACTGCATAGGAAATATCCGGTCGAATAATAATGAGATAATTGAGCTTCTCAACCAATCTGCGATACCGACTCGGATTCTCAAACAGTGCACTATTATCCATCAAAAGTTTCTGATTATGATCCATAGGAACATCAATAGGTCTGCTACCCAGCAAACTTGCTTCCTCTAGTATGTCAAGTACATATTTCCTCTAGGATAAATAAATACCCTGTTTAGATCGAGTCACCTCAATACCCAAAAAATACCTGAGTTTTCTCAAATTCTTAGTATGAAAACGATCTTGCAAGAATATGTTTAACTTGACAATCCCCTCAGAATCATTTCCAGTAATCACAATATCATCTACATAGACCACCAATAGAACATATTCAACATCTATTTGTCTATGAAATACAGAATGATCTGTTTGACATCGAAGAAGACCAAACTCTAAAACTGCATCTGAAAACTTACCAAACCATGCCCTCGGTGACTGTTTCAAACCATATAAAGATTTTTTTAACCGACATACACTCTTACGATACTCCCCCTGAGCAGTAAATTCAGGTGGTTGTTCCATGTATACCTCTTCAACCAAGTCACCATGGAGGAAGGCATTCTTGACGTCTAACTGAAATAAGGGTCAATCAAGATTAGCAGCCAAAGAAATCAAGATACGAACAGAGAAAATTTTGGCAACAGGAGAAAAAATCTCTTCATAATCAATACCATAAATCTGAGTAAAGCCCTTTGCAACAAGCCAGGCTTTGAGACGCTTCATAGAACCATCTAGATGAAATTTAACAGTATATACCCAACGACAGTCAACAGTTTATTTATCAGGGGATAAAAGAACGAGATCTCAAGTTCCATTGTGATGTAAAACATCCATCTCCTCCTCCATAACTTTCCTCCAACTCGGATCAAATAATGCATCTTGTAAATACTTAGGAATAGATATAGCAGATAGTTGGGAAGTAAAACAGGAGAAGACAGGAGACAAGGTATCATATGAAACAAAATGAGAAATGGGATGATTAGTAACACACGAATGGGTACTTTTGAGAAGAGCAATATGTAAAGAGTTTAAATTACCTAATGTATCAGGATCAAAAGATGGCAAGGAAGATGGTACAGGTACCTCAGTTGATGGGCGAGGACGGCGAGAGTAGACACGAAAAGGTAAAGTAGATGGTAACACAGTGGCCAATGGAATATCTGAAGATGAGGAAAGAGATGATGGTACAGGAGATAATTCAAAGTCCAAATCCAAAGGCTGAGAAGGTGCTGGAAAGTATGGAACAATTCTTCAAATGTGACATCGGCCCTAGAAAAGTATCAATGCAAAGAAGGATTGTAGCAACAATACTCCTTTTGCGTGCGGGAATAACCAAGAAATACACATTTGGTAGCTCGAGGGTCAAGTTTGTCAATCCAAGACCCAAATTGTGAACATAACAGACACATCCAAAAACCTTAGGAGTCAGAAAAAATAAAGGTTTACTAGGAAAAAGGACAGAATATGGACTTTGTCCATTTAGCACAGAGGATGACATATGATTAATAACGTGACAAGCAGTAAGAACAGTATCACTCTAAAAATATCGGGGAATATTCATCTGGAATAACAGGGCACGAGTGACTTCCAATAAATGACGGTTCTTGCGTTCAGCAACACTATTCTGTGGAGAGGTGTAAGCACAAGAAGTCTGATGAATAATGTCAGCTTTATTAAGATAAGCTGAAAAAAGATTAGATTCATATTCCCGAGCATTATCAGAACATAAAGTACGTATACGACAACCATACTGAATTTTTATTTCCTTACGAAAGGTCTCAAATATAGAGAATAATTCAGACCGAACTTTCATAAAAAATAACCAAGTCACACGAAAATAGTCATTCACAAATGTCACAAAATAAGAATATTTATTAAATAAAATATTTTTTATTGGACCCCATACATCAGAATGTACTAACTCAAATGAACTAGACACACGATTATTGACTCTAGACTGAAATGATACACAATGATGTTTACTAAGTTGACAAGTTTCACAAGATAGAGACGACACATAACTAAGACTAGGAACTTGATGCTTCAGATTCTGGAAGAGGGATGTCCAAGACGACAATGCCATTGAAAATGAGACAATGAGGTTTGTAGAGCCCGGGTAGGTGAATCAAAGTCAAGGTAATATAGACCACAAGCTTCATGCCTCGTACTAATCTTCCTCTTTGTCTTGAGATCCTGAAAGACATAATAAGAGGGATAAAATGTTACAGAACAATTGAGAAAACAGGTAATCTTGTTAATGGAAAGTAAACTAAAGGGAAATTGAGGAACAAATAACAAAGAAGATAGGGACATATCAGGACTCAAGTGAGTAGTCTCCAGGCCTGAAATTTTAGGACAAGTACCATTAGCAAGAATAATACTACGTGTGGAAGTAGCAGACTGATAAGTAGAAAAAATATCAGACGCACCAGTCATGTGATCAGAAGCGCCAAAGTCTATGATCCAGGACTATGAGTGGAAGACAATAAACACGTGGAAGCATTACCTGACTGGGCAAAAGTAGCAGTGCAGGGAGATGCGACAACCTGTTGCTGGGCTGGGACAAGAACTAAACATATTCCTCTCGTGTAATAGTAACCAACCCCGTGTTTTTCTTGGGTTTCATAAGTGCAGCAAATAGAAAAAGAAAAATCACTAGATCACTGAACCGGACAAGAATCACCTACTGCATTACTGAACCGAAGAAGAAAAAGTTGCTGGATCACCAAACTGGGTTGGAGAATTTCACTGGAACACTGAATCGGATCAGATAAGTTCATTGGATCGTTGAACTGGACTAGAAAAGAGTACTGGACCATTGAACTGGACCAGAAAAGAGTACTGGACCACTGAACCGGATAGGTTGAACCCTCTGGACCACTGAACCGGGTTGGAAAAGATAGTAGGACCTCTGAATCGGGCTGGTTTGACTTGTTGGATCATTGAACCGGACTGGCTGGGCTCTTTGGACTGCTGAACTGGCTTGAACCGTGGGGCTGGACCACTAAACTGGACTAACCAGACTCTCAGGACTGCTGAACCGGCTTGAATCGTGGGCTGGATCGTGGGTTGGATCGGGATTGGGCTTAAAAACAATTTAAGACCCTGGTTTGACCCGATCTGATCTAGACTCAAGGAGCTCTTGTTCTTCTTCGTTGATTAGGTTTCAATAAACCCTAATCTTCAACTGTGCCTCACCACCATGACAGCCCACCACGACACACCACCACCACGACGAACTCCAAACGACGACGAGAAGGCCACCACAACTAGCGACACACCACCACACAGTGCCACCACCACAACAGTATCATCACCACTACAATGGAGATCACCACCCCCACGCGACAACACCACCACAGTACCGCGATGGCTTCTACAATGGCTTTTACCAAAAGTACCACCACCTCCACAGCAACGATACCACCACCACCACAGCAACGACACCACCACAACAGTGGCTTTTACCAACAGTACCGCCACCACCACAGCAATAGTACCACCACCACCACAATGAAGAGTTAATTTATTTAAAATATATTTAGGATCGTAAATGCTCTAATACCATATTAAGTTTAGAGAATTAACACAATTTTAAAGAGAAAACAGAGAGTGGGTAAAAACCTTAACCTAGTTCTCATACAACACTTATATTTATAGTTAATTCACAATAATAAAAATTACACATACATCATATTACTATTAACAATTTATACATACTACCCTACTATTCTTAATATATATAAACCTTCCAATGGCTACGAAAGTTGATGAGAAGGCCAAAGGTCCCATAGATTTTGCGCTCGGCTTCAGTCCAAAAACCAATCAATTCAAGGTGATTCGAATGTTTGATCAAGGACTCGTCAACTTGTTCCTTGTCCCATTACAGGCACAAAAAGATATCTTATTAGGATGGCTGAGATACACACACTCGGCACAGAATCATGAAAAAGCATAGGCTATGGCCCCTCTTCAATTGATAAGCTAACATTCCCCACCTATCTGAATGGAGCTCTTCATTGGCTTTGTGTTGATGACAGGAGATCAGATTTTATAGTTTCCTTTGACATTGACAGTGAGTGTTTCCAATCAGTTCCATTGCCGCCTCTTAGATGTAACAAACTTGGCTTGATTGACATGCCTTTTGTGAGCCTGGGAGTAGTAAGAGAACGTTTGTGCATCTCTGAAGGTTCCGTTGCCGATATCATTGTTATATGGGCGATGAAGAAGTATGGAGTCAAAAGTTCATGGACTAGAATGATTTCTGTTGACAAAGAAACTGCAGACTGGTGGTCTTGTTGGCTGTACCAGCCCATGTGTCAACTGAAGAATGGGCCACTGCTGATGTATCTAAACAGTCAAAGGGCCTTGATATACTATGGCACTAAAAGAGAAGAGTGGAAATATCTTAAGATTTGTGGGATTGAATCACAATTTGAAGCTGTGGCTCATATTCCAAGTTTGATATCGCTTAAGGATGCCGTGATAGGATACAATGATGTGGTGCTGAATATAAATTCAAGGTAATAATGTGCCAGTTTGCAATTTTGTAGTTGATTTAATAGCTTTGCTGATTTATATATTGGTATGTTATGATCTCTCCTCCACTTTCTTTATTCCTTTTTCCTTCCGTGTGTATGTGTGTGTTTCAGTAATCACATTGAAAAATAGTGGTAAATATGTCTTTAAATAGCCTTTCTGTCTGGGGCTATTTGTGTGTGTGTGTGTGCGCGTATTATTGTCGCATAGAGCATGCCTTCATGTTAAAAGACGAGTTTCTTGATGAATCTTTGTTCCTGTTCAAACTTTTGTGAACACAAGACACCTAAGAGTATATACTCTGCCTCAACCTTGTTGGACTATATCAGTCATGCAGGGAACGAATTTGATCTTTTATGCATATGTTCTCGGGTTAGGAGTCAATTCTTTGAATAATAAGAACACTAAGACTAAGGTCTTTTTAGTCTTATGTATCTGTTAAGACACTTGTTCTTGCTAGAGTCATGCTAGGCTTTTAAGGTTCATTAACTCTATTTCTTGTGCTGGGTGAGGAAGGGGAGTGGTGTTTATAACTATCTAAGGTGGCTACTAAGGCAAATTACTCAGGAAAAACTATGGGTTTGAACTTTGAACTTGCTTTCCTAGCCCTCGTGCTAAAATTCTCAACCCTGTAAAGAAGCAGTTTGAACTTTCAGATGTTCTGTATAGGTTCCTCGTTTGGCTTTCAGAGATTGATTGTGACATTGGGTCACTGCTAAAATATAAAGGACAAGACAAGAAACAATACTGATTTGAATGTAGTTCCCTTTATTGGTATTTGTCGCGGTAACCAAATTTAAGCCATTGCTGTGCATTTGGATGTAATTTCTTTGTGGTGTGTTTGAACAACTTTAGGACTTGATGGTACATCAATGGAGTTTCAGATGTATTTAGGGCTTGTCCGTGTACCCTGGTTAAGTATATTGTTTGGTAAGATTATAACATTGAGGAAAATAGGTATTTGAGTACATATACAACAAACTAGGGGACATTTAGAGTTGCATATATTATTGAGGTACTAAATAACAGAGCCATACAACTAATTGCAGGGTTTGAATTTGATCTGTAAAGCCGAACACTAGTTTAATTGTATGCAAATTTTAAATTTTCTATGCAATTTAGATGTATCTTGCGGCTCATAGTATGAAAGTTGCGCAATCTGTTTTGTGCGTAAACTAGTGGAACCAAATTTTATGGTTGTAGTTGAATATCTAAATTCTATTTCTCTACATTTCTAGAAGTATGCTCCTCAGTCCTGATCTCAACCATGGTTTATACAGGTGTGCAGGATTGAAACTGCATGGAGAGACTAATGCTCTTTTCTTGGTGGAAGAAGCTTGGAAAACGGATCTGGATTTAGGCTTCTCGTTGTATAGTGATGATGACAATGGAGAGCAGATCACTGGTGGCAGAAGTGAGGCAGCCGAAAACCAAGCTTGAAAAACTACTTAATGGTGAGCAATCTTCCCTTCAAGACTGATGCCTTTCCTTGGAAACAACCTTGAATGCCCTTACTAGTATGTGTTTTTGAACCTTTGTCAGATTCTCTCTAGTACTGAGATTAACTGGCTATTCTCGCAAGGCTTATGTTTTTAGGATCTCCTCTAGACTCTCTTTCATGGCTGTGGGATGCCAGTTTTGGAATGTGGTTTAGTAGGCCATAGAGGTTATATGGACATAGGATCTCCTCTATGTACTTTCAATTTCTCTCAATAACAAATTGCTAGTTTTGAACCCAAATAGGATGCAGTTGCAACCTATATATAGATATATGTAAGTGGGTCCTTGTTAATTCATGGTGTATGATCTACTATTATAGGAAATTAAGAGAATGTGTAAGTGAGGAAAATGTTCTAATTCCTTCAAATAAAGACTTTTATGTCAAACAAACAACCAAAAAATCAGTGTCTTAAAGGTTGGTTCTTTGCATTATTAATGATATTACTCACGTTTCTAAACCGATTTTGTAGCACATTTCTCTCTTTTCTCTTATGGTCGTCAAACTCATATGGGAAAGCTTATTAGTCTGTACAAAAAAACTCATCCATGTGATTAATATCCCACATTTGGTTATTAAATGTCAGACCCTGAAGCTTTTTGAATACATTAATAAGATACATTCAATATACGAATTATTGAAAATATAAAAGGAGCTACAGAGTTTTTGAAAGTTTACGGGAGATCATAGGAAATTTTGAAAAAAGAGAGGGGGGGTGATGTCCCCATTGCTCTCCAAATAGCTCCGTGTGTAATTGTCACATAGAGCATGCCTTCGAGTCAGAAGATAAGTTTCTTGATGAATGTTTACTCCTGTGCAGACGTTTGTGAACATAAGACACCTAGAGTATTGGCTTTGACTCAACCTTGTTGAACTACATCAGTCATGCAGGGAGCAAAGTTGATCTTTTATGCAGCAATGTATGTTCTTGGGTGAGGAATTAATTCTTTGGACAATAAGAACCATAACACTGAGGTCTTTTTAGTTTTATTTGTCTGCTGTACTTGCTATTAGTGTCATGCTGGGCTCTCAAGGTTCATTATTTCTTTTTCTGGTGCTGGATGAGGATGGGGAAAATAGGAGAAACAAAAGGAGGAGGGAGGGTGAGGAGTGGTGTTTATGACCATCTAATCTTAGCTGGCTACTCTGCAAACTACTTAGCAAAGCTATGGATTTGAACTTTGAACTCTCTTTCCTAGTCCTCGTGCTGATGTTCTTACCCTATAACGAAGCAATTTGAATGCAGGGAGCACTGGTAAAATATAAGCGACGAGGCAAGCAACAATACTAATTTGAATGTAATTCCCCTCTGTGATAATTTGTGCAGGAACCAAATGAAGCCATTGTAGTAAATTTGGATGACATTTCTTTCTGGTGTGTTTAAACAACTTTCAGACTTGATGGTACACCAATTGAGGTTTAGAAGTATTTAGGGCATGTCAGTGTACCTTTGGTTAACTCAGATTATTTGATAAGGTTAGAACAACTAGGAAAATGTTTGGTAAGTGGATGAAAAGCAACGGGAACATATACACTAATTTAGGGGACATTTAGAGCCGTATATATTATTGAGGTAATAAATAGTGTGCCATGCAATGAATTTCAGGGTTTGAAATGCATTGGTAAAGTCAAAAGATAGTTTAATTGTATGCAAATTTTATACATTACATGTAATTTAGATGTATCCTGCGGCTCATAGTATGAAACTTGTGTAATATATTTTGTTTGCAGACTATTGGAACGAAATTTTATCCCTTTTGAATTTCTTCTGTTGTTATTGAGGAGAACAGAGATCAAGTTAATATGCACATGAGTTCTAATTGTTTTCTAAGTTTTGTTTACCAAAATTTGTAGTAAAAATAAGGTCTTCTTTAGATAAAACAATGCGTTAACAAACATTAGCGTCACCTTTTATGTTGTTTCGCTGAAGTGCCAATCCTTGCTTACTGTAGAATTTAATTGTACTCGAACAAGTTGTGAAGGTGAAGCTTAACCACATGTTGGTTATATAGAAAAACAAATTGAACATAATAGTGGAATAATTCCATGGAAGTTTCTTATTCGAGTGAGAATTGAATTTCAGAAAATCTAAATTCTATCCCTCCTTTCGAGAATTATGCTCCTCAGTCCTGACATCAATCACTGTTGATACAGGTGTGCGGGTTTTAAATTGCAGGAAGAGACTAAAGCTCTTTTCTTGGTGGAAGAAGATTCGAAAATGGATTTGGATTCGGATTCTGGTGGCAGGGGAGATGCAGCTGAAAACCAGACTTGCAAATTTTCTTAATGGAATCCAATCTTCACTTCAAAACTCATACCTTTCCTTGGAAGCAACCTTGAATGCCCTTACAATTATGTGTAGTTATGTGTTTTTGAACCTTTTCCTGATTCTCTTTACTCTTTAGTACCTAGATTAACCAGCTATTCTCCAAACACTAATGTTTTGGGTTACCTGAATGGTTTGGGGTCTTCACAGGATCACCTCTCAAGGGCCTGGGATGCCAATTTCCAATGTCATTTTTCAAATTTTCTAAATAGTATGATCAATCATGAATTTAAATATGATTCAGTATATATAAGTTGGTCATTTATCAATACGAGTACGCGATGGATGGATGGATGGATGGCTTACCTTGGAGAAAAATTAAGAGAAAGTGCATAGCATAGGATATGGATTCAAGGCATAACATAGCTTAGAAATGTTTTAAGCTTATTTTCAATTTTGTTCTCATTGAATGATGTTATTAAGCATTATCTCAAGGAGACTAATCCACCAATTAACTTTTGTTGCATGACTTGTGTATTCCTATGATACTACTTGAAATATTTCACTTCTAATCCCCTTCAGAATAATTCTTACATTTAAGCGGCCAAAAAAATGGTGTATTTCAACTTTCAAAGGTTTTTTTTTTAAAATTATTTTTGTTTCCTTAATTTATTTGCTCATGAGATGTAAGTAAATGTCCTGTGGATTGACAGAGGTCGAGTAAATGTCATCCACATGTTCTACGTCCTAAATCTTCAGGTGGAGTTTTATATATTTAAAAAAAAAAAATCAAAAAATGTGATGTTATATTCTCCGCGTGTTTAATTTAATTAGTTAAAATTATAGTAATTGTCTCTAAAAAAAAGTGTACCTTTCATCTTACCTTACTTGGTTGAATAAATATTTATATTATTTCAATTGTTTTATTTTTGTCTTGATTCCCTAATTGCGTAAGTTACTCTTTTTGAAAATAAATTTAGTTATGCTAGCATATCGATTGATGGGACACTCTTGATGACGGGGTAAATTGCCAACATGTGTCGTCGGCGCCGAGGGGACATCTTTCATTTTAAAGACATATGCCCTCAGCCCAGAACACGTCCTCTATCTGGTGACAACACGTGTCATCAGCCCGAAGCCACCTGTTCTTGGCTCCAAGGGGCATGTCCGCCCCAGGCATGGTAGACTCACGACCTCGGCTCCGAGGTACCTTTGCTCGAGGCAGCCCTGTATCCTCGGCTCCAGGGACTTGCTAAAGCTCCAGTCTTGCCACGTGACTCCTACTTCTGAAAAGCTATTGATTGCGGCTGACCAGTCTCAACTAGACTAGGGATGATGATGATGCTCTGCACAAAGAGAACATGATGGCAGGATAAGTAAGACATTCAGTCATGGGGAATTAAGCATGTGGCATGCAGTACAGGGTTGGGAGTAAAAGGACAGAGGCACCCTTGTTGACATATTGCTATCTCCGGCAAACATTTAATGAATTCTCACGTGATCGGATATCTGCAATGGCTTAATAAGCCGAGAAGTAAAAGCATTAAATGCTTAAGAATCCAAGCATTTAGTATTTCTACATTGAAGAAAAAGCTTTAACTACTCGGCAGTCCGAACAATTAATACCGGGGCATCCCCCATGTAGAATAGGAGGCACACTGCCCCATTTCTAAACACTACCTACTAACTAGACCGTTTGTGATGATGAGTCTTTTGGGGTATAAATAGTCTTCAGAAACACATTGCAAAGGTACACAAAATCACTCCCTAAGAGCACAAACAATGTTTTCTTCTTCCTCTCTCTCAAAGAATTGACTAGATCGTCGAAGGAGATATGTTGAAAAAAACTCTGGCGCCCTTCTAACTCGTTTTCTGTGTTTTAGGAACAGCCCGTGACCCATCTGGATCAATCGAATAGCCCCTGAAACAATTCATCATCACTCCTTAGGCCTCTCAAACCATATTTCCTCTTCCTTTGTCCTAGGATTATCCACTCTCTTGACGAACCCGAGTTCACAACGGGAGAGATCTGTTATTTATCTATATTGTGCGAAAATCACTGCACACAGCGATCAACCATCGAGCTCTAATGTAAACTTCAAGACTCGAACTTCAAACCTCTAACATCAGGGTAAGAAATTCGACCGGTACCCCCATCGAACCAACCCACTTAATGGTTAAATCCCTCCAATTTTACTATACTATAAAACAATCTAGTTAGGGACGAGATGCCTTGAGAATGAGTAAATATTGGGTATAACTGTGTAAGACATGGTGTAACTATTCAATAAAAAAATAACAAAAGTGATAAAATAGGATTCATGAGTTTTAGTGGGATCCATTCGCTGACTTGTTTACCTATTAATAGACGATTACATCACATAACATTGTTGATGTGGTGTAATGGTTATACCCAATATTTTTTCTTGATAATGCTTCCCTCCCTAAATGTTAATTTAATAGAATTTTGAAATATTAATTAAATCACTCCAATCAAAACATTGAATGTGTCGTTTGTGACCACTCTCACCATTTTTTTTTTAAACTATTTCAAAATTTAAACCTTCAATCATCTTTCTTAATTATTTAAAATATAAATAAATATCATTTTAACACTTATAGAAATTGTTCAGCGCTATAACGTTTATGAAAGATTTAGTAGGAAGACGATAATATGAATAGATAATAAATTTTATATATCGCACAGAATATCCATTTGTAACTATTATAAATAACTCTCCATAAACTCCAACTATTACATATTCAAAATTTTCTAAACATCAAAATTTTCATTCACTAATTATTATAATATTTTTGTTAACTTATGAAAGAATGAGGGGAAAATTATAAAGGGTGGAGAAGAGAATTGAGAGAAACAAGGAAATGACTCGTCCATCACTTCAAGTTGAACATAACGTTACTCTAATTTAACTATAAAAAATGAAAACATAAAGAGGTACAAAATAATTCGACCTTCCTCTAATATATTAACGTCAACAAATTTCGAGAAACAGATATTCCAAACACTTCTAAAAATTCAATCTAAAAATTTAAGATTCAAAGAGTATCTCTGTATTTATTTTTTAATGTACCCGTTTTTAAAAAGAGATAAAAAAAACTCTTAACAATGTTTTCTAAATTCATACCCATATTAAATAAAAGAATTTTTTTTTTTAAACTTTAATTAAGAAAGACATAAATTCTTACCCTCTTTATAAAAATGAAAGATTACACATTCTTTTAATCAGACGATCATATTTATTTATTTTTTTTAAATTTAGATTTATCCGTTTAGAAAAGAGTTTCTCTTTCTATTGAAGAGCTTTTGTGTTTTTTCATTAGAGATCTATACTGAATTAAATTTTTTCTCTCTTTCTTTTCAATCAAGGGTTAATTAGAGAAGAACAAGCCCGATAAAAACCCTTCTCTTTGGTGGAGGAGAGGAGAATCCAGATAGAAACATTTTCCAGAACAGTAATACCTCCAGATTCACCCAAATTTTTTACCGAGGTCTGCTATTCCCTCCATCGTACAAAAACGTACGTACCCATTTCGCGCCAAGGGTGAGAAGTCCTCACCCACTTATGATTCATCTATTCTATTATCTTTGTTGGGTAATTTGCTTCCCGCATATCGCATTTTGGAAGTCTGTTCAAACTTCTTCCTGGTAACTCTCTCTCTCTCTCTGTCACATCACAAACATAGCATCTAATGTTTTTCTAAAATGCACTAGGATTGGTATGTATGATATGTAGTTTTATTTCCTAGATCATGAGTTTGGGATTTGTTAGAAACTTTGGAACACTAGTCCAGACCAAAAACAGGGTTTTGCTTTGGGATTGAATCATTCAGTTTTGGAGAGTGTTTCTTCTTGTTGGTACAAATCTTCTAATATCTCGAACTGGGTCTTAACAGGCTTCTGGGTTCCACTAATTTGCATATATAACCACGATGATTAAGGACTTCATTAGAGATATAGATTTACAATGCCATATAAACCTTAAAAGGAAGGGTGTTTTTTTAGGGGTGGGATTTACTTGATCCTATGTCTTCCCATTAATATTGTTTGGCATATGATGTTTACATTATTTTCAACAGGCCTTTTATGTGTTTGTAATCTCCTTAAATAATTCTAACTGATTGTTGTTAACGTTTTGTTCTTTACATTGCGTAACTCTAGATGTAGTAGTTTCCACAGATTTAAATGTCTGTGGAAAGAATTTACACACAATAGGGCAATAAAGAAGCAGAATTCTCACTCTTTTGATATCAATGTTCTGTATACAACTAAAAAGAAAGGGAAGGATGGTGGTTGCTTCAAATTATTTTGAAGTACTAAATGGAATGCCATACGATCTTCAAGCTAACTGGATCTCTAACTGGCTTCTGGGTCCAAAGAATTTTTTTGACAATTTTTTTGAGTTTTTATGAGTCATTAGTGATAGAGATATATCGCACCATGTAAACAACAAAGGGTTTAGTTTTTTTTTATTTCTTGCCACCCCCCCCCCCCCCCCAAAAAAAAAAAAAAAGGAAGGGGGGGTGTTCTGTTATTTGCTCCATGTGATATTCATACTGTTTTAATCTCCTTTAGATTGTAACGTAAGTAAAACTACGTAATTGTTGTAAAGGTTTTCTTTCTTTATTTAGCATGCCTCTAGATTTAGTTTCCATGGATTTCTAAAATAGTTGTGGAAAGAAGAAATCAAAAACTGATGTTTATAGCATAAAGGCATCAAAGAAGCATGACTTACTGTTTTGATTTCATAAGATATCTAATAAGCCTCTTGTATAGTTGCTGTAGCTACATGTTTATCCTATAAGACCAAAAAGAAAGAGAATGGTGGAGGGTTCCACCAAGCTTTTAAAAGCACTAAATGTGATGTCATAAAATCTTCAGTTTTGTAGCTCATTAATTGTATAGATGCCAAGAGATAGTTAAGTTCTGTGATATATGATGCCTAACTCCAGGTTCATTTGTGTAGATCATAAACCATGGGAAAAAGAAGAAATTCAACAGCTTTTGAAAACCAGAAAGGCAACAAAGAAGCAGATGAGCAAGTTCAGAGCTCGTGCCATTCCATTCTGGATCTTCCTATGCCCATCATTTTAGATATTCTTATAAGGCTGCCTATAAAGGGAATTGTCATGTGCAAGAGTGTATGTAAATATTGGTGCAACATTATTTTGGATCCTCAGTTTGCTAATCTGCACTTTGCACAAGCACAGGCCTCCCCTCTGGTTCGGACCTTGTGGACTACCTTTGTGTCA